CATTGATCCGACAGAGTACCAGCAAAAGGCCCTGGCTGCAGGCCTTATGACTGCAATTACAATCGTCCACGGGTGCTTTCTGAAAACCGGCATATGGATACAGAACCTGTTGGGGTGGATGAAGATTTTCATGATCGCTGCAATGACACTCACAGGGCTCTGGGTGATACTCTTTCGACCTGAGGAACGCTCCATTTCCGGGTCGAATGACGTGGACAGGACTGGATACGACGTCTTTTTGTGGGACAATCTTTGGGAAGGGTCGAATTGGAGCTGGAGCTTGCTTTCAACATCGCTTTTCAAAGTGTTCTACTCATATGCCGGGCTCAGTAATGTAAACAACGTCCTCAACGAGGTTCAGGATCCGATCCGGACGGTCAAATCTGTGTGTCCGTCCGCTCTCGTTACTGCTTGTGGTCTTTACCTGCTGGCAAACATCTCCTACTTTCTCGTCGTCCCAATCGAGGAGATCAAGAACAGTGGTGAACTCGTTGGGGCTCTCCTGTTCGAACGCGTTTTCGGGCCGCATGTTGGAAGGACCTTGTTTCCTCTGGCGATCGCCATCTCCGCCGCAGGAAATGTCATGGTGGTCACATTTGCCTGGGTAAGTCCACTCAATATCTTGAAAGTACAGTAAATGACGTGGATAGGCACGGGTGAACCAGGAGATTGCCCGACAGGGCTTTCTGCCTTTCTCGTCCATGCTCTCATCGTCTCGCCCGTTCAACGCTCCTTTGGGGGGATTGATTGTGCATTATATCCCTTCGCTCTTGGTGATTGTCCTTCCCCCTCCAGGAGACGTGTACAGCTTCATTCTAGATGTCGAGGGCTATCCAGGCCAGATTTTCGCCTTGGCTATTGCAGTTGGCTTGCTGATTATGAGGCGACGGCAGCCCAATCTGCCACGACCATTCAAAGCATGGCTTCCTGCGGTCTGGCTTCGAATTATCGTCTGCGTTGCCTTACTTGCGGCACCGTTTATTCCTCCTCCAGACAGAAAGGGCGATGTGGACTTTTTCTACGCGACATATGCAGTCGTGGGTGTCGGAATGTAAGTTTGTCCTCCTGTTCAGAGGATTGGCTAACAGATACAGTCTACTGTTTGGGGTGATTTATTGGTATATTTGGACCGTTCTTCTTCCACGATGGGGGGGATACAGACTGGAAGAAGAGGTAGATGTGCTGGACGATGGGACGAGTATCACGAAACTTGTGCCGTCATACATTCTCTAGATATTTATCAGCGATCGATATTAACTCAATTCTTTCAGCAAGAATATAATGACTTTAGCCGTGCACCTGTAAAACTCCCTTCTATAGTTTGGCCACTTCCAGTTCATGCTCCGAATACGAGGATCCCCGTTTAGATTCAGTACAGAGACACCAATCCGTTAGATGTAGGCAGTAGGAACTTCCTATTTTCCAGTTAGGCTGGTAACAGGAAAATGCCGTGACGCATGGCAAAGGACCTCCCGATTAGAAATGCACAAGATTATAAATGCATCGGTAGGCTTTCATTTGCCATCTGCGAGTATCACATGTTGTCAGGATAATGTACAGGATTCTGAAGAGCAATTTATCGATCACAGGGTCTGTCAGAGCCAATCGCTGTATTTCCTATTTCTCAGCATCTGATGCTTTCTAAGATGATGCTCACCTCGCAGCCATGACGTGCTGATCTGACAAATGCCTACCCCGCAAGAGAACTTGATGAACTTGATCATATAAAACCAGTTGAATAGGAATGGCTGAACTGATACCATCACTATTCATCAAATTCAGAAGCAATTGCAAGAGACATCGACATGGCATCAGCAGCTGTTCAACTCCCAACTATCCACGAGCCTCAAGCTCAGAAAACGTCTCTCCTTCCGACTGCAAACGCACCGCATCATGTGCAGACCACACTTAACTTCCTGAAAGAGAACGAGGACGGCTCTCCCCCGGCTCCATCCTACGTCGGCAAGCCAGAGACCTACTACCGACCTTCAGTAACGCTACCTGTTACCATCCACGACGTCAGTGGCCATGAGCTAGAGTACACACTGGACAAGAACGGGTTCCAGTTCTACTACCACGAAAGCAAGGAGAAGGACTTTCTCGACGATGAGAAGATCAAACAGGAGTACTATGCCGAGGTAGAGCAGCTGCTCAAAGACGCGTGAGTCACGGATGCCCTCGTCAATAAATGACACTGACAGGAATTAGCACCGGTGGCTCCAAAGTCTTCATCTTCGACCACACGATCCGCCGCCAACCCAAAGACGAACGCAGTCCCGCCGCTCAACTCCGCGGGCCCGTCCAGCGCGTCCACATCGACCAATCCTACGCAGCAAGCAAAGACCGCGTCTCCTACCACCTCCCCGACGAAGCCCCCGAACTCCTCAAGGGCCGGTACCAGATCATCAACGTCTGGCGGCCGATCCGAACTATCCTCAAGGATCCGCTGGCCGTGGCAGACGCGCACTCCGTCCCGGACGATGACCTCGTGCCGACAAAACTCATCTACCCGAACCGAGTGGGCGAGACTCTCTCGGTGAGACCGAATCCGGGCTTCAAGTGGTACTTCCGGTACGCGCAGCCTCCGGAGCTGGTGACGCTGATCAAGTGCTTTGATTCCAAGACGGATGGGCGGGCGAGAAGGGTGCCTCACTCTGCGTTTGTTGATCCGGCGACGGAGGGAGAGGCGTCAAGGGAGAGTATCGAGGTTCGGGCATTAGTCTTCCATCCCGAGGATCGTGAGTAGATTGCCTTGGGTCTGGTCCTGCCAGTCAGACAAGGAGATTCATACCATAATTTTCCATTCTTTCTTGTGGCCTATATGACAATGTGATTTAACCAACTGTACTGTCCATAACTTCTGAGATAACTTCAAATAAATGAGCATATCCCTGAGCCAGATGCAGCCACCCTCAGGCATGCACTATTCTGCCAGTAAGGAGACAGACCAAGCCTCGTAATTTTCACTTTAAGAATTCACTCATAGGACAGAATCAATTGTTACTGAACTGTTGACTGGACTACGCTCCCCTCACATTGATCATCCCTGCTAAAATGCCGTGCGAGCACGTAATCCGCCTTGCGAAAGACAACATTACTTCGAACACTTAGCTCAGAGATTTGGCCATGATTAACTTTGACGCAACACAACTGTATCTGTCAATTAAGATTTCGTCTAAATTACCTTGTCATGATAGCTCCACATGGTTTGTTACTTGAAGAGCAACAATCTGCATTGATGCTTCGTGATATTCGCCATCGCACGCTAGACATATAAAGCAGTGCATACCACACGAACAAGGTCATACATCATCTGGGACCCTAACAACATCAAAATGGCCGCGCTCGAGAAAGAAGTCCGTCCCACAGACGAAGAGGTTGCGCGCAGCCCATCGCCAGAACCAAAGAAGTATCCAGGTATGTCACCCCTACAGTACGCTTGTCCGTCTCTAACGAATCAGTCAAATGGTACCGCTCAACCTTTTATAATGCCCTGATCCTGGGTATCTGCAACTTCCTCGCCCCCGGCATCTGGGGCGCGATGAATTCGCTCGGCGCCGGGGGTGCAGAGAAGCCCTACCTCGTGAATGCCGCCAACGCACTGACGTTCTGTCTGATGGTTGTGACCTGCTTCTTCGGCAGTGCGGTTGTGCGTCTTGTCGGCATCAAATGGACCCTCGTGATCGGGACAATGGGTTACGCCCCGTATGCTGCAGGGCTGTATACGAACAACCGCTTTGGGAACGAATGGTTCGTCCTTCTCGGCGCGGCACTGTGCGGACTGTCGGCCGGGCTCTTCTGGATGGCGGAAGGGGCAATTGCGCTGTCGTATCCGGAGCCACACAATCAGGGCCGATTCCTGGGATTCTGGCTCAGTTTCCGTGTGGGCGGCCAGATCCTGGGCGGCGCTATCAACCTGGGAATCAACTCGAGCCGATCAACGGCCGGAAGCGTGTCGTACTCGGTCTACTTGGTGTTTATTGCGTTACAGGCTTTAGGTCCTTTCGCAGGCTTGCTCCTGAACAAGCCGTCGCAGGTGCAGCGAACGGATGGTCTCCCCGTCCGACTGCGCATCTCGCACAGTCCGCTGTACGAGCTCAAGGCCATGGCCAAGTTGTTCGTCCGGCGAGACTTCCTGTTGATCGTCCCGCTCATCGTGCAGGCCGTGTTCACCGAGGCCATTATGTTCACGTTCCTGTCGTTGTGGTTCTCCGTGCGGGCTCGTGCCCTCGGCTCGTTCTTGTCCGGGATCATCGCCGTGACTGTGGGCAATCTGCTCGGCGCGTTCCTCGACAGTCAAAAGCTGTCACTGCGGTCGCGAAGCCGGGGAGCCTTTTTCGTTGTGCTTGGTCTACAGGGCGCATGGTGGGTTTGGGCGACGGTCATCGTGACCGAGTACCATCGTACGCTGCCGACGTATGACTGGGCGGATGCTGGGTTCGGACGAGGCTTTGCGCTGTATTTGTTCTGGGTTGCGGGCTTTCAGCTCAATTACATGTATCTGTATGTGCCTTGTCTCCGTCCTTGAATTCGTACTAACAAGGTTAGTTTCTTTGTCGTTGGTAATCTGGCCTCAGATGAAGAAGAGGTTGTACGGATGGCCAGTCTCCTGCGGGGAACAGAGTCGGCCTCGCAGGCTGTATCGGTATGTCCACTTTCACCGACGATTAATCCTTGCTAATTTCTGTAGTATGGTCTGGACAGTGTCAAGATCATGAGTTCTGTTGGCAGCACCTACCTGAATTTTGGCTTGTGGGCTATCGCGCTGCTGCCTGCGTGGCTTGTGATCAAGGAGATTGGGGTGTCGCTGGGGGATAGGAAGGTCGAACGAGAGACTCGGCGGATTGACAGTGATTCGCAAGAATAAACATGTATTCTCTATTAAGAGGTATATATAGAATGTCTGACGAATGGCACGGCTAGCTCAACACAATAACGAAGCGCATCATATATATGCAACAATATCAACAAGCAGCAGATCATATCGACGGGTATTCAGACTACACTCTCGCTAAAATCCACTCGGCAATATCATCGGCAAAGACCTGTCGGTTCTCGGGCAGGTCTGCATGCAGCAGATGACTCCATCCCTCGTAGGACTTGAACTTGCGGTCGGCGACCTTGCCAGTCTGCGCGTCGAACCAGTGCTTGCTGGCATCATAACTGGTAACCTGGTCTGCCGTCCCATGAGCCACATACACGGACTGGACGCCATCATTGAGCACCAATTTGCCCGAGGTCAGGTTAGCCGCCCGGTCGAGCATATTGGCAAACATTTCCAGCGTGCCGGTGGTGTGGTTGTAGGGATCCTCCTTGAGCGTCTTCTGCACGACGGGATCGCGCACAATCGTCTCGACCTTCAAGGGCTGGACGAGTTGGAACCGCGGTAGGAGCCGTCCGGCGAGCCGACCCAGGAACACGGTAATGATACTGGGTTTCTGTTTCGGGTCGAGCCCGATGAACGGGGCCTCGAGCATAATGCCCCGGAGTCGGGAGACGAGCTCTTGATACTTAGGCGTCGAGGCTAGCGTGGCAACCAGAGCTCCGCCCATAGAATGGCCCATGACAAAGACCGGGACATTTGGCGGAACCTCGAACTGGGCCTCGATGAATGCTGCCATGTCGACCAGGACGGCGGCGGTCGGGCCTGTGTTTCCACGGTCGGCTTTTGTCTGGGCCGACCGACCCCAACCACGCTGGTCGATTCCCGTGCAGAAAATGCCACGGCGGACTAACGAGGGGAACAGATCATAAGTATTGTTGATGTGGTCACTGAAACCATGAAAATGGATCAGTTTTGCGACCGGCGGGGTCGTCGGCTGTGGCAGAGATCAGTTTAGCGCCAAGCACGGGCAATGACAGGGAGGGAGCAAACGGACAGCCCATGTTTTCTGGTAGACCTCTAGCCCATCAGGGAGCTTGAACTGGCTTTCGGTGATGATGACGTCGGGCATCTTGCGGATTTGATGCGTTTCTGATGGACGATGCGATGAAGCACTTGGATCAGAAATAAATTGAAGCTAATCTGGGGTATCTCGGCTCTTTCTCAGCTGCTGATGCTGGGCGAGATCCGAGGCTGTCCACGGCACGTGCAAGGCGCAGTCACGGGACCCATTGCTGACGTATCAGGAGCAAGATCCATTTCGGGGGAAATTGTATGCAGGAGGGAGAATAATCGAATCTATATACTATTGCTTCCTTTCTGCAGAACAGATGTCTACCATTATTCAGTTCTGGCTGTGGGTCGATATATATCTTGCTTGAGCCAGGGTCGATTTGTTGACAAATAAGCTTCTGTAAACTGGAGCCGTCTTTTGCTCCTCAGGCAGCCATGCGAGCATTGTTTAATAAAGACAAAAAGGCTTCCTTGTCGTCTCGTTCTAAAGATGGAACTGTATCTTCGAGTCTCCGAGTCGGTACCAGGTCATCGTAGAGGAGTTTGCCTGCCACAGTATGAATCAGCAATTGCAAAATGGACATATTATTGCTCGCTTACCTTGGTCATCAAAAAATGGTCCACCAAATAATCCTTATTATTCTTGTATATCCTGTATATCATGCCCCTCTCGTCTGTGATGGCTGGAGATTACTCAAAGAATCCACCATTGCAAGCAATGGGATGTACCAAGTTGACAGGCGAACAGATCGACAGCTTGCTCTGGGGCCGACTAGGTTCGGGAATCGGGCCCATCATTCATCAAAATCAACCAATTAACGGACCCTGTTCTTCTAAATCCCCATCTCACCTTGATTGCTGAGCAGCGCTTTTGCCCAATAATACCTACGGGTATTCCTCATGGCATTTACCAGAAAATCATGCACTGTGCAGCTACCGGCGAACTGGCGACACAAGCCCGGATTCCCATCAGACATTGATTATCGGAATTGGGACGAAAAAAGAAGTGTACCAAGCGTAGGGTGACTTGGTATGCTCCTGATGAACGATATGACGGACTCATTATGATTGGCAATGGATCTTAGCTAATCTTGGCTGTCTTAGCTCATTCTCAGCTGCTCAAGCTGATGGGGATCCGTGCACCGCGCAGTCACGGAACCAGATGGCTGACACATGAGATGCCTGCTGCAAGATCAAGTAAGCCATTATGCCAGCATTACCAAAGAATTACATTTCTTGAGGGCTTGCATACCGATGGGCATGGAAGATCTACTATTGCTCTCTGTTCAGAACCGGTGCCTTGCCCTCTATTAACGTAGTTCTGGCTGTCGGGTGGATGTATATTCCCGCTGCCCCTATTCCGTATACCTTACGAGGTGTATCTCGCTTCAAGAGGCAGCTGCCGATACCTTGACAAACAAGCTTTTTCCCGGCAGATCAGAGGAGTACGGTACGAGCAAATGAATACTGTTGCCCGGTGCCCAGTGTCCACTGAGAATTCTTCAAGGAAGCATGCCATGTGCAACCACCGGCGAACTGGCGAAACAATTTCCGGGTTCGCCGTCTGTAGAATATGGGAATGGGGGCGAAAATGGGAATGCTACGCTGACCAAGCCGAAAAGGCGTTTTTTTGAGGGTTCACTGGCATCAAATCTCAAGTGAAACATCTAATCCCCAATCAGCGGCTGGATCCGCTTCAGCCATGTTTCAGCCAGCGGGCAGCCACAACACACTGCTATTCTGGCTTCAATAGCAGCTTCTAGCCTCTGGATACGCTATAAAAAGGCACCATATACCCAATCTTTGGCCATGACCAGCAGACAGACATCACCAAGGCACTCCAGACCCTAATACCCTTGGATATACCAGCATGCCGTCCAAAACCATCATCAGCCAACTGGCCCTCTCACTGGCTCTGTGCAACTCTGCCTTGGGCCAGGTCGTCAATGGCGCCGACTACAACAAGCCTAACGGAGGACCTCCGGCCAGCTTCTTCGCTGCTGCATCGACGATGCCTGTGGCAGCCCTTCAGGCAGCGGCCGCCAAAGCCACCAAGGTTCCCAGCCTGGCCACGTATCCTGTGAGTCAGGATTCTGGTGCGGCCAAGTCGACCATCCACACCGACTGGGCGTCATTCGGTGAGGGCGCCTCCATCTCGTGGATAGCCGACATGGATGTCGATTGCGATGGGCTCAATTCTGGATGCCAGGTGGGTTCTGACCCGCGCATTGACAACTCGTTGCTGACCCAAATAGGGAAATCCGGATGGACAACCGCAAACCAACTGGGGCGCCCTGTCTGCATATGAGGTGCCCTTCATCGTTATTCCGGACAAGTACCTGTCGGCCAATACCGGCGCGCTTCCTGGCAACAACATTGCTGCTGTGATCTGGTGCGTCGCGTCCTCGTCCGTTGATGCGACACTACTGACACGTCTAGCAACGGCAAAATGTTCTACGGGATCCTCGGAGACTCCAACGGTGACAGCCCCCAGGTCACCGGCGAGGCGTCCTGGTTGATGGCCCGGACCTGTTTCCCCAGCGAGGGCCTGAACGGCAATAACGGCCACACCGGTGTCGATGTAACCTGTATGTTCTTTCCAACCATCGGTCTTCCAAGCTAATACAAGCAGACATCGTCTTCACTGGCAAGGATGCAGTGCTCCCCAGCAGTGCCTTGAACAAAAACTACATCACCAACTTTACCACCCTGCGCAGCATGGGCGACAAGCTCGTCAACGCGCTGGCGTCCAACTTGGGTCTTTCGGGAACTCCGCCCACAAAGACCACTACTCTGGTCACATCGACTACGACCAAGCCGACATCTACCGCTACATGCTCCTGGGCAGGACACTGCTTGGGCGCATCTTGCTCCAGCGACGACGATTGCTCGGACGACTTGGTTTGCAAGAGCGGTTCCTGCGCTAATCCATAGGCTCGTGGACTATGATAATGATGATGATGTTTTGACTTGGCTGTAGATAGGAAAATGGATTGAGAGTTTGTCTAGCTATTGTCCATACCATGTGTATAGTAATTGCATATATTTGGATGCAGTGTTTTGTGCATAGTAATGCATGATTACTAATGTTGATGACTCAGTCGGTGCCTTAGTTGTGATGTCATGCCTCGGGCAGCAACAAGTTCCTGTATGATCATAATCATCTCCTTCTTCCCCTCAACCACCTTACTCTCTCTACTCCAAAATCCGTACAAGCACAATGGGCGTCGAAGAGCTAAGCAGGTATGTTACCCATCTACTTAAATAGTCTTGCATTAACAGCATCGTAGTCTACAAGCCTTCCGGTCTGCCGTTGCAGACAACATGCTGGTGCTGGTCGACGCGTACGCAGACTGGTGTGGCCCATGCAAGGCCGTTGCTCCCAAGGTGGAGCTGTTCAGCAACCAGTACGCCAATATCAAATTCTTCAAGGTCAACGTCGACAAAGTCCCCGATGTTGCACAGGAGTTGGGAGTGTCGTCCATGCCCAGTTTCTATCTCTTCCGAGGGGGCGACTATGTGGATAAGGTGGTCGGCGCCAATCCGGGGCTGCTCGAGACCTCCATCAAGAGACATGCAGAGACGGGGGCCCAAGGCTAACTGACATACACTGATCATGTATATACCTGAATGTCACTATTCTAGACGAGTCAACCCCTAGGTTTACTACTTTGTTTTGATCTCAAACACCCCCGTAGCAGCCGGCTTGCTCAACGCCCATTGCACTCCATGCGCCATGACCGAATCCCACCGCTTGCATTCAGACAGCGTCGCGTGCGCTCGGAAACCGTGCGGTAAACCAGGAAAGACATGAACGTCAGTGGGAACCCTGCTGCAGTTAGTATACTGGCCCACAATGGGCTGCTGCTCGTCTCCAACTCACCCATTATCTGTCAACAACTTGGCAAAAAACAGCCCTTCATCTCGGAGTGGATCCAGGCCGGCGATCCCGAACGTCGTAGGAGGCAATCCCCGAACCTGTTCCGCAGTGGCATTTCCCGGGTTGAGCGTCAGGTCTGTCTCGTCGCCCTTGGTCTCCAGCAGGCCCATGAAAAAGTTGATCCGTGTCACCGGCAGAATGGGCGCATGCTCGCTGTCCACGTAACTGGACAACTTCGGATCCTTGAGGTATTTCAGCTGCGGCGCATAGCGGCCCGGGCCCACCAATGCTGGGATCATAAGCACCTGTCCTTTGATTTTGGGTCGTTTGGCCAATTGCTCGTCTGTGCCCAGGTGCTGCGCCAACGTCAGAGAAGCAGTCATCCATGCGCCAGCGGAGATGCCTCCGACGACGGTATTGTCGCCATCCCCACCCAGCTCCGTCAGATGGTCATGGACCCAGTGAAAGGCGTCTGCGGCGTCGTTCCAGGGGATGGGGTACTTGTACTCGGGGGTATGGCGGTAGTTGACATTCACCACCACGACAGGAGTGTTCTCCTTGGCCAAAGTAGCCACGACTCGGGAACAAATGGCGTCTTCCGAGGCTAGAGTGCCAAACAGAAACCCCCCGCCGTGTAGATGGATGTAGACTGGGAGGCGCTGTGAGGACGGCACACCGACAGGACGGTAGCTGCGTACTTGTAACGGGAAGCCATCCCTTGCTGGGACAGAATAGTCCTGCATTGAGACTTGCGATTGCAGTCCTGATCGTGTCAGTAGATGCATTCCGTATGGCAGCCTAACCTACCTTCATTCACCATGGCGTTAGCGGCCCTCTCCTCCCGAGCTCGGTTGATCATCTCTTTCATAGCATGGACATCCAAGTCCGTGGCCGGAGGTGGAAGGGTCTTCTCCAACGCAATCCATTCTTCCGTAGGTATACTGTATTCTGAGTAGTCTGCCATCTTCCTGTCTGTACAGTCGTCAAGGATCAATGTGAGGTATTCGATAATTGAGGGGCGGGCACACAGCAGCGGGGTTATATTCTATAGCACGGAGATGATAACCGAACGCCGACAACAGAAGCCGATTGGCGTTTCTCATCTCATGGCTTCTTTGGATACAGAATATTAGTGGAATAGAAAAGTAGCCGAGGTTACTCCGGTAGTCTATACTTTGAGTGATTACATCCTGTATTAACCTTTTACACTCGCTCTGGAAGGCTATTCCATCCCAACTGCTGCTGTCGTGCCTCCAACTGGTAAGACTACTCCCGACATCCATCGGGCCTCCTACCATCGCGACGAGCGTATACACCATTCTGGACAGGCACAATTTGCTCGGACGCCGTCTTTGCATGATGCGCCGCCATCGCGCGGGTCATACTGACAATTCCCCCTTGGTAGTGGGATACAGATGCGGCGCGCCACCCTTTAAACCAGCCGCACTGCCCATGTTGACAATACTTTTGCGCTAGATGGTGGCGTTACCGTGACTGTTCCTGGATTATTCGGAGGTTGCATTGACAAGGCTAATTGTGCTGACCGCGGACATGTATAACATGTAAAAGTAGTTGGGGGGAGGGGGGGTGTTTCTAACGAGGGCTGCTTCTCGCGACGGCGCTCTATACCCTCAATCCAAACATCAACGGCGTAACAATATCCTGGATAATCTTCTGAACAAATCAAGAATTGCCATATCTTGGTGATTTTGTCAATGCAACCTTCGAATAATATGAATGGATTGGCATTGTCGCGGAGACTCTCTGCTCTGGGGATAACCGGAGGAAAGACAGCGGATCTGGCGAGATGCGACGTTGACAGGACGGACCCTGGTGCCACGTCTTTAAACTACAGCTCACAGAACTCTGAGTACTGAGAAGAAGTCAACAAATCTGAATGGCACAGACACAGCTCAAGTATCGCGGACGTTATAGTCCGCGGAGTTGCTCAACTTTACAATCGCCGGAAATGAACTCATGACATCACCCCCCGACTACTATATACATGTCCACGGCCAGCACGATTTACCCCGATATTCAGACTCTAGAGACCAGTTCGAAGTGAAAACAAATCAAAAATGCCCAGATATGCATTGTTTGGGAGACCGTGGCTGGGACAGGGCCCTCCATGGGAATGGATGTTGATACCAAGGTGTAGGCCAGCCCTGAGAAAACCGCTGTCGACTGGGGCGACAGCAAAGCCAACGTCGAAGCGGCCAAAGGAGCGTCTACAAGTCTGGCCATGGTTGGCTGTTCCTGTCCTCGGAGGCACCTTGCTCTTGTCAGTACACAAGCGGCCTATCCAACTGGAAACAGACACATCCCTTCAACAAGTCTACCCAACTGGCGAGGAATCTCAAGGCGATATGCGTAGTCTACCCAAAGAGGACGCCATTCTGACCACTGCGCCTAACGTCCCTCCCCCAATCACTCGGACTCACCCGGTTCTTCTTCACGTCCCATTGATAACGTCCACCAGAACGCGCCAACTCACCAGTCAATACAAGTACGACACATGGACCTTCAACGGCAGCGTCCCCGGCCCGTTCATCCGGGCGCGCGTAGGCGACGTAATTGAGCTATCCCTCACGAACCACGACCGCACCGGCAACCCGCACAACATCGACTGCCACGCCTTCACCGGCCCCGGCGGCGGCGCGGCCGTCACCACCGCCGAGGAAGGCGAGGCCAAAACCGCGCGGTTCAAGCTTCTCTACCCTGGTCTGTTTGTGTACCACTGCGCCGCGGCCCCGGTCCCCGTGCACATCGCCAACGGCATGTACGGGCTGATCTACGTCCAGCCCGAAGACGGCGATCTCCCCGCGGTGGACAGGGAATACTACGTCATGCAGAGCGAGTTCTACCATGAACCGCCGGAGATCGAGGAGGACGGGCGGCGCTCGTCTACGGTCGAGTTCTCGTACCCTGCCGCGCTGCACGAGGAGCCCTCGGCGGTAGTCTTCAATGGGAGCGAGTCGGCGCTGACGCGGGACCGCCCGCTCAAGGCGAAGACGGGGGATTCGGTGCGGATCTTCTTTGGGAATGCCGGGCCCAATCTTACGAGTTCGTTCCATGTCATCGGGAGCCATTTCCACCAGGTCTTTCGGGATGGAGGGGTGGTTGATCCCCCGGCTCGGTTGTTGTCGACGGTGGGTGTGCCGCCAGGCGGTGCAGCGATTGTCGATCTGAAGATGATTGTCCCGGGGACGTATACGCTTGTCGACCATGCGATATTCCGGATGGATAAAGGCGCGGTTGGGTATTTGAACGTGGCGGGTGCGCCTCGTCCAGACATTCTTTATAGTGAGCTGCCGCCGGAGCCTTGTGTAGGGTGTAAGCTGCACCCGTAGGATCTCAGGTGCTGCCGGTATTGCGACAGGCAAACAGCCATTTCTCTGTTTCTCACTTTCTCGTATCAACGATATCACCGTGGAACATCTATGTCTTCTTTTGACACTGTTAATCCTGTAGACCAACGCATATCTAGATGATGTCTGTATGAGATACTCGAAAAGCATGTATGATTTGCGTATGGACAAGAATAATCATGGACACTATGCTGCCGAAGCCATAGTCTGACCAGCCTAGATTCACAAGATGGCTAGAAAGCCCCCTTTCCTGGAGTCGTGTCGCCGTGCAGTGCAGCACAGCCCTCCTGGTACACAGTCGGCTTCAACAGCTGCGCCCGCGTCTCATTCTTATATGCAAGTCCGATCAGTGTGTTCTCTGGTTAGCATTGGCATTAGCATCCCATCTCATATTCAACCGGTGATTCAGATCATTCACTTACTGTCAGCACAATATCTCGGCCATCCAAGGTGATCTAACCCCCGCTCTGGATCCGTCGCAAACTTCACCCAAGCAGACGAAATATACCTGCTTGTCCGCTTCTCCACAGAAGAATCAGGGATGCCGGTGACATTCTCGGCCGTCCCAAAGACCATATGCAGATCGGCACCGTGATAAGCCCCGCTGGTCGGATACAGTCTCAGATTCCAAAAGTCGCCAAAGTACCGCGCATGCCAAGTAGGGACCCCGTGTGCTGCGCGATCGACCGCCGCTTGGCCGGTCGGACAGGTGAACGCGGCCAGGTTGAACCGGTGCCATTCCTCGTCGGTGAGCGAGACCTTCGCAGCAAAGGCGTTAATGCGGTAGTAGCCTGCTTCGTTGTCGTTGCTTGTAAAGAGGTATGGCTAGCTTCGTTAGTGTGATTTGCTTAGGTTTGGGACTCACGTTTATGGAGAAGCTTACCGCTTTGATGAACTTGCCCTGCGCGGAGCGTTCGGCGTAGTTGTCAAACACCGTGACCCCGTCCACGGTAGGATGGAATTGGGGTTGAGGAAGCGCGGGGGAGGGAGCGAAGGGGACCTTTTTCACGGCCCCGAGGATTGCTTGGAATGACTGCTCGCGCAGACACTCTACCACACTGTCAATGGGGTCAGTGCTGTTGCCGCAGCCTAGAGTGTTTGAGACGTGATAGAAGTAACTGGCGGATTCCTCGGCCGTGTTGGGCTTGAGGCTCAGCGCGGTACCGGAGTGGGAGATGAGGCCGCGGACGAGCGGCTTCTCCGTCCAGATGTACGAGTAGTAGTCGACCGAGGCGCCTCCGGCAGACTGTCCGAAGATGGTGATGCGGTCAGGGTCGCCTCCAAACGCGGCGATGTTGCGATGCACCCATTCAATGGCCATGCGCTGGTCCAGCAGACCCACGTTCTGGGTAAGGCCAGGGGCTCCCGAGAAACCAAAAATGTTCAACCGGTAACTGTCCGGTTAGTCTGGCACGATGGACGGGGGCCAATCACTGACTTGAAGGTGACCACGACGACATCATTCTCAGCGACCAAGTTCTCGCCGTCGTACATGGGGCTGTGAGCTCCACCAACGCTGAATCCTGCGGTCGTTAGTAGGTGCTGTATATGACAACAAATGCGGTGAACATACGACCACCATGGATGAAAACCAACACCGGTTTCAGCTTGCGTGTGGGCTTAGTCCATACGTTCAAGTAGAGACAATCCTCACTCTGGGGAGTCCCTAATTGTTGAGCAAAGGTTCTGATAATGGTTGGTGCTTGCAGCGTCAGGCCGGGGAAAGGCGGGACACTTCCAATATTGGCGGGACAATCCCTATCACAGCAGTCAGATACTGAGCACTCGGATTGTCTCCGGGGTCACACACGGGCTCTACAAAAGTGTTAGTCTGTTCCTGGAACCCTGCATCATGCGGCATACATAAGCATTGGCAAGGACGGTGCCATTGCCGCGGTATTGGACCGGAGGAGCGAATCGGAGGTCTCCCGTGGGCGCAGCAGCATAAGGGATCCCCAGATACTCGAACACCCCCGGTCGCGATGCAACGTGTCCCTCAATCAAGCCACTGCTGGTCCGTACCCGAGCGCCCGCGGCATCGCGCTGGAAGTGGGAGTTGGGTGGTAATTGGGCATATGCTGGTGTAGAGGTGGCCAAAAGGGCAGCACCCAGGGAGATCCAAACGCTGAAATGAACCATGGCGAAACCCGTCCAGGAAAAAAGCAATTAACGACAAGGATTGCACAGGTTGAAGAGATTCCACAGGATTGCATCAGAGCTATGTTAATATATTATTGGGATATTACTCGTATTCCAATTATTATCCAAGGCGTCGATCCAGCCCGAAACGGGACAATTCTCCGCCAAGTGGACCGATGGAGCACAGCTAGGCCAAGCCCCTTTCCACTTGTTCAATAGCAAACGGACCCTGTCTCGGAGCAATTAGAGTAGGATCCAATTGTCCGGTGGGCGTCGTGGAACATCCCCGATCAATCCACCCGCGCAGCTTTCCATGGCTCGTAGCCCGATCTGCTCGGCCTCGCTTCGAAGTAAGGATTTTAGTATGGACAGTTCCACAAATCGCGGCATTCTCCGGCTAGGTTCGAGAAGAGCTAAGGATTGATTGATATTGATTGCGGGTTCCGTCCGGAATCCTTCCAAATATCATCATGAAACGAACCAAGGGGCCCTCTGCTGAGACCATAGATAGATGGCACGGATCCTTCTATCTGCATGATTCACGATGAGGAATCCTGCCTGACATGGCGTACGAGATTGGACTGAGCACGCCTACTGTGCCGAATCGCGGTTTCACACTTTGGATATGGAGTGTGGTCATGGTGATTGTGGCCGGTTTCTTTGTGCTGGGACGGTTCGCGATTCGGCTTCACAATCGCCGCGTTGGGACCGATGACTGGGTGATTTTCGCGTCGTTGGTATGATCATCCTCGCATTGATGCACATTTGCTGACAATCACAGATATCCTCGGTGTTGCTGACGGTGACCGAGTGTTCTGGTAAGTAGTCGCCTCACTCCATTCTTGGGCTTTACTGACTCTTGTAGCGGTGCATTATGGGTACGGAAAACACTTGAAAGACATCGCCCCTCACGACCGAGTCAAAGCTCTCAAGGTATGATCTATGCATTACCTCCATAGCGATTGATGACTGACGACGACAGTGGTTCTACGGTGCCCAAATCGTATACAAAGTCGTCATCACCGTCAACAAGATCTCCTTCCTGTGTCTCTACCTTCGCATCTTCGTCCAGCCCGTTTTCCGCCGCGTCTGCTACGGCGGGATTACCTTCCTTTCCGCCTGGGGTGCCGCCTATATACTCGTTACCATCTTCCAATGTACGCCTGTTGCCGCGGTCTGGGACAAGACAATCACCCAAAAGTCGTGTGTCAACAGCAAAGCGCAGTGGTTGTCGTATGCCGTCATCAATATCGTTTGCGACGTGGCCATCCTCGCGCTGCCGGTCTACCCTGTCTCGAAACTACATTTGGCCCGCGGGAAGAAGATTGCGCTGGCAGTGATATTTGGCTTGGGGACATTGTATGCCACCTCCCACATTCGTTACGAGCTGGGCTAACCAGCCAGTGTCTGCATAACGAGCATCATCCGAACAACCACTCTTGCAGGATCAGCGAACGACACAAAGAAAGACCCTACCAGTAAGATCTCAATCATCCAGACCATCGAAGCACACTGACAATGTAGGTGGCCCCATCCCCGCTACAATCTGGAGCGTCATCGAAGCGAACGTCGGGATCATCTGCGCCTGTCTTCCCGTCTACCACCAACCGCTGAAGTGGTGTCTGCCGCGTCTTTTCGGTTCTCAGCACTCGGCGCATCCCTCCGTCAGTCGATCGCGCGGAAGAGTACCGAAGACGCCCGGGAGAAGTCAGTCACTGCAGGATCGAAAGAATATGGCCTGGCGCGAGCTACAGGGCAGCGGCGGCAGTTACTCGAACAATGTGTCGACGCAGGGGTTCGAGCTCTGTGACGTCGAAGGCAGGAAGACTGAAATGAATGAAATCATGCGGATGACGGATGTGAGCGTCTCGTATCAGGATGATCAGAGGTCGGATGCATCCTCGAGGCCCATCAGAGGGAGAGCAGAAGACTGAACTGACGTTTGGAGTGTGGGTATACCCCTGCCAGTAGTAACTGTTATGTTCAATGAGCGATGAATTACCAATAGAGTCATGTCAAGACATTGGTCAGGGACGGCGTAGGCAACGTGGGAAAACCGCTTCGCCATGCTGGGCCCAGAGATTGGCCAAAGAAGATGAGGAATTTGAGCACACCGTGCGAACTCAGGACGTTGCCATTCTCAGGCCATTTGCATGTTGCATATTTAATATGCACAAGGGCCTCGCCTGCGGTCGGTTAGCAGCGGACTATACCCTAGTCGCGTCAATGGACTTCAGGAGACCGATCATAGCCGACTTGGGAGGAATGTCAACACAGCCTGGGCGGATAATTTGTAACTGACTGTCAATGCAATGCCAATCTCATTTTCACGCTACATACCTCTCTAGAGCGTTCTCGAAGTCCAGCTGCTTCAAAAATGAAATTTTCGTCGTGTCTAGATGGCACAACCTTGCAAGTTCTGCGTCATGATGATACCCTGTATGTACGTCTTGAGTAATAGAAATACCAGGGTCCCTTGCGATTTTTCTAGACATGCTGGTAAATGGCCTGACAATAGCGTCAATTACCACTCCGACAGGGAAAATTTTCACACCGAAGAAATGCCTCGTCTTGGTCTTGGCCGACTGTTATCCATCTGTCGTCTGTGTGCTTGTAGAGCGAGGCAATTGTGTTGATCTAGATCAACCATCCAAATATATCGCACATGCCAAGCAGAGTCTGCCAAGCAACACAGTACAACTTCACGGTGGCGCTGGACAGTCGTCAAGATATAAAAAGCAGGCGAGATCCAGTCCAGTCTGCCAGAAATCATCAGCAGCAATCCTCCATTGACTCAATTCACTCAATTCACTCAATTCACTCAAACATCCAACCCTTGATCACTATGAAGTTCTCCCTTGCTTGCCTCCTTGCGTTGGCTGGACTCCAGTCCGCCCTCGCCGACCCCAAGACCTGCAAGAAGGAAGCAAAGTTTGTTGAGCAGGAGCTGATCGGCCAGAAATACTCTGAGGCCATGGTATGTGTTTGAGATCCTCCCTGCCAGGACGAAGCTGACCCGGGGTAGGCTAATGCGCTGCAATCGGACCCCCTTCGCGTCCTCCACCCAGGAGATATTATCACCTTGGAGTACAATGCTTCCAGGTATTGCTTCCTTGACCCTATGCGCTACGGTATCTGTGACTGACTGTATGGCCCATCCAGATTGAACATCCATGTGGATGAAAACGATGAGGTTCTGTCCGCCCATTGTGCTTAGGGCACGGGCACGGTTCGGCCTAATGGTCAAGGAATACACAAAAGTACTGTAATTTAGTTTAAACAAATGAAACGGTATTTCCGTTATTAGGAAAGAAGAAAAGTAGCTCCAAGATGTATTTTATATTCTGCAACAATGACGTAGTATAACTTGGACCCTGTCGGACAAGTACTGTCGGACTCATAAGCGCCCTGTCTGGGTTCATCTCGCCTCCTGTGGCGAAGCCAAACGGCCAAATCTCGTGTTTCCCTACCTGCTTGATGTCATTTGCGACCAGGTTGAGCACCTGCAAATCAGACAGCTACACGTTCCATGTCGCACCTAGGTACTCCGGTGCCCAAGTGCTTCGAATGGGATTGCGGACCGGCGCAAGGGCAGCCATTCTGTTTGCGCGATCCAAGTATGGGTAGAAGGGACGTTGGCAACCTACAACATATACTTCAGCGCAGTTGCACAGTATAGATGGCTCCGCATACCCCGCCACCCTGCTCAGACAATCGAAGCAGCCCCGGCCCATCAGGAACGATCATAGTACCATCAGGATAGAAGGAATCTTACTTGGGGACAGTGCATGGCGAAGTAGTTTGGCTTCCGCTGTTAGAACTATTTATCTGGACGGCTTCAGACAATCGTCAACGCATTTAGAACATGATAATGGGGATTAGACCGCCGTCAGGGAGATTGCAGGTATTATAGTTCCGTCAAAGACAAAGAGATGAAGAGGAAAGAAAGATGGAAACGAGTGGAAGAGGGGTGTATTCAGGTTCCTACAAAGTGGTGAATGAAGAAGGTATTTTCTCATCAATGCACATCAACCCTTCCAGCTAGTGAATGCTCAGGTTAATGGAAGGGAAATTCATTGCTCTTCTAAACACCAGTCTTCTAATCCTGTGGCTTCTGGCCGTACACATGATACCACTGAGCGTACATGTGGATGTTACGATTCAGCAATTCCGCTCTGGCGCCTGCAAGAAGGGCCTGCACCTCAGTGATATGCCATCCGAGAACCCGTGTCATCAGAGCGAAACAGTAAGCATCCAGACTCTCTATCATATTCACCTGGTGAAATTTGCCTAATTCCTTCAGCTTCGGGTCCTTTGCCCACGGTGATAGAGGGATCTGTTGTCCCAGTTAGTGGCCAGTCTGATGATCAGGATATTCAATGCCGCCCACCTTGTAAATCTCCTCACGGATATTGATAAATCCTGCATCTTCAAGGCGCTGCTTGTGCTGGTTGGCCGTTCCCATCACCTTGCCGAACCTTGCGCTTGCGTCGCATACGAGTCGGTTCGCCTCGAGGAGGTTCTTTGCCTCCTTGACGGTATCGTCGTCGCAGCAAACGATCAAGTCGGCATCTGCGAATTCGAACCAGCCGGCGGGCGCCAGGTTCTTGAATGCGCGCTCGACGAGTCGCCCGTAATCGGACACGGAGCCTTGCAGGTCGCGGGCGTGGATGAAGTCGAATGGCTTGGAGTATTCCCATTCGGCCTCGAAATCGTCCACCTCAAAGGTGAGATTTGGGGGGACCCTGCCAGAATATCAGCAGGGAATCTCCAAAGACGTCAATCATTCCATACCATGTAGGCTGAATGGGGCTCAGATCGTTTCCTGGAGAGTCAGACACTGGCCGTGGTCACCTTCTTTCGAACATACCTATAACTTTCGCCTTGGGGAATTGACTGCGACATGAGCATGAGCGACTTGATCAATGAGGATAGACTCACTCCGCCACTTCAATTGCCCATATACCCGTGCCAGTTCCCAGATCGAGGATTCGGGAGAC